AACTTATTAAAGTTGTAATAGGGTAGCATAACCCATTACATCTTGGCTTCCCTGACAATTAGTGCTTGGGAACAAATTCAAATTAATTATCTGGCTCCATGATGGCAGGATTAACCTTTAAAGTGGATGCAATGACCATGATTTACATAATCTATTCAATCATTTTTCAATAGAGTTAATATTTAGAGTTAATATTTTGGTTTCTTTTCACATCCTAACTACATATTCATATTTGTATCTCATTTTGAATTTGTTTTTTGTATTTCTTCTCTTAAGAAGGCCTACAAGATTGAGTAAGCTTCAAGCACCACATTAGCTGGCCCCACCCCAACTAAGGGAATTCAGAAGAGATATTAGCAAAGGTTTTCCAACCATGGGGAGAATTCCCTGGGATCACCATGTGATGAGGAATTTCTTACTAACCCAGAGGGAGAGAGTTACATGGCTGTCAGTTGATTTCCTATGGTGGAGGGGGAAGGAGACTAATCAGTCAGTATCTGTGGATGTTTACAAGCATAGGCTATGGCAGTGGATAGTTGAAGCTGTAAAAGCATCTGAAATGGTCTCTTCCAGCCAGTAATCTGCAGGTGAGTGAGATTTTCTGTTTGAAGCAGGAGGGCAGTTCCAGAATCTTTGAAACCAAACCAAGCCTGGCTTCTCAAGAAGGGATGTGACACTCAAGAAAATTCAAGGACAAGGAGGATGTATAAGGAAAAGCTATGTCCTAAAATTCTGGAGAATGTGTACCTCTAACCCCATAATGCACTATGTCCTTCAATGGCTCTGAGGAACTTTTGTTCTCAAAGCTATGACAGTTGTTTCTTCCAAATTCTATCAGAGGCAGACATACAATGACATCCCTAATAGGGTACCATAACCCATTACATCTTGGCTTCCTGAGAATTAGTGCTTGGGAACAAATTCAAATTAATTATCTGGCTCCATGATGGCAGGATTAACTTTTAAAGTGGTTGCAATGACCATGATTTACATAATCTATTCAATCATTTTCAATAGAGTTAATATTTAGAATGCAAGTGGGGAGAAATAAATTATATCTTATTGCTTTGCATGAACACCAGGCTTAGCTCACAAAAGAATAAAATTAACATTATCTAAGGCATAGAACATATCAGGTGCCCAAAGAAATAAATTAGATCACAGGTATAATTAACAACACTTCTAGAGTCTTCCTGTAATATACATTCATCCAGAAAGTAAATAAACAATGACAAACATGAGGAGCAGATTTCATCCATCTCTCTCCTCCTGGGAGCCAAACAGAGACCTCCTGATCTGTTAAGTCCTTGTAAGATATTTTATGGGTATGTGTAATACACATTGAGATCATTTCTCTAAGGATCTACAGGGATTATATGTCCAATTGAATAAACAGGCTTAAAATAGCCAAATAAAATTTAATTTGAATCTCTTATACTTCTTATCTGATCATTCCCTTCATTTAGGTTCCATTATGGGCAGGACACGTGTGCTTTATTCTGATTTTTAACGAAACAAAGTCTTAACATCTGTTAAGCCTTTAACCGGAATAGTCTATTCTCTATTCCCAAGGAATCTGGTGCTCTCAGAGCTGTTGTTTGAGGAATCAAGAGTTCTTGGAGGGTGTGCTTAGGGAGAGATGGCTTATCTGAAGTGAACTGTCTGAATCTAAAAATTCTGAAAATTTAGATTGCCCCAAGAGAATGAGACAAGAAGAGGAAAATTGGAAAAACAGAAACTGTATCGTATTTACAAGTTTCCATAAAAATTTCATTTTCCAGGACCTCCCTGGTGGTGCAGCAGTTGAGCACTGGGTTGCAAAGCTGCGCGCAGCCTCTGCAGCGCCGGTTCGATCCCCGGCCGCCGGGCAAGGGTCCACATGGCGCACAGACCTCTCCTGCCGCCCGCTGCTCCCCTCAGCAGTGTACTTCAGTCCTTCTGCCTATTCTGCTCCCCGCTCTGGCTCACCCTCCCATGCTTCTGACTGTACCCAGTGCTTGTATAAATAAGTAAATTTAAAAAATTAAAAAAAATTTCATTTTCCATTAAATGAAAGTACTGCCTGTGCATTTGCAAACACAAGGAGAGAAGGAGGATTCCAAAAATATGCAGGACTTCTCTCTCATGAAGTATAGAGTGGACAGATCAGGAGCCTGGAAATCGAGACAGCTGGGTTTTAGCCCTGAGCACCAATTAACTAATGGATAGCCCTGAGCAAACACACATTACTCCTCTGGGTGAGCAGGGTCCTCTGAAAAACAAGGGCTACATGGTACCTAGCTTATAGTACAGTATTTACAGGTGGCCCAGCCTGTGTTTTCAGTTCAGTCCTTATTAGCTGCAGACTCCAAGCAAGACATTAAACTCTTTAGCCTCACTTTCCTCATCTGTAAAATGGAGCGATGAATAGAACCTACCTCATAGGATTGCAGGCCTGATTAAATAAAATAAATGTAGCAAGCATTAGCACACAGTGCTTGTAACAAGGGTTTGATCAAACTTGTCTCTTATTAGCTATTATAATCTAGCTCTAAGATCTCTCTAGCTATAGCATCCTGTTATTCTAATTTCATGATATAAAGGTAGAAAACCCATAGTTGGGCAATATTACAAATATAAGTCTGTAAATTATGTCAATTCATGAAAACATACAGATAATATTGCATAGAAGAAGGAAGTTGGAAATAGTTAATTTCAGTGTATATATGTTTTGGGTAAAACCGAGAGGCATATTGACAAACAATGGAAGGAAGTCCTCACTGAGTCCGTTCAAATATTACATTATCCTTTTTTCTAAAGTTGTTTGAGAGTTCAACACTCACTTAACAAGAAACTGAAACTATGATAAGTGATTTTGCTTCTCTTCTTTTTCTATGACTTTCTCCCAGATAAGTAGAGATTGCCATTTAGGGGTACAGTTAGTGCTCGAGGGCCCTTGGAAAATCATCCTGCCAAGGTGATGGATCTAGTTGTTTTGTGGCTCATCTTGTAGTTTTTTACAAAAAGCTTTTCAAAAGAGAAAGATGGTCAGTCCCTTCTAGTGGAGTTCACTGAACATCTATTCTCAGAAAATGTTCCTATTAGCTCTTCTCCAGCTCAGCCTCAAGCATTTTAAGAAAAGCCCATAAAGGGAGCCTACCCATAAATTAAGCAGAGACACTCTTCATCAGACTTCAACGTTTTACATCTTGAGTTTGATTGGGACAAGACGTTGTGCAATCCCACTGCCATTTCAGTGCACTGGGGAGGGAGAAATCAGCTGTTGAATCCAGAACAGGCTCAGCTACCCTGAAAGGAGACTTTAAATGCAGGGTCCCAGGTTTCTGGATCCAAAGTTAATGATCTTTCTAACCTCCCAGAAAGCCCCACCATGTAAGGGCTCTGTATTACTCTGATAATGATCAGAATAACAAGAACTCTGCTCTTAAGTGTTCTCTGGACCTACACACTGTGCAGAGCCCTGGACACACTTATGTTTAATTTCACAACAGTTCTAAATGGTAATATGGACCCCATTTTACAGATGAGGAGCTAGAGGCTTAGAAAATTTAAGAAACTAGCTCAAGGTTACAGTTCTGGTGTACATGAGTGATAGCATTAGAAATGCCTTCTACTTGGTTCCAAAGTGCACATGGGCCCAGCGGCTGCTGCCACCTCTCACTTCGCCTGTTGATGGACTGATCCTCTGTCTCCACCCCCATTACAGCTGTGTCTCCTCTTCTTTGGAAACGCCCTATTGTGCAGGGCTTAGGGTGTGTTTTCCCCAGAATGGGTTCCTCAGTCAGCCAGTAGTTTGATTGCTTGTTTTATTCCCATCATTGTGCTGAGATTTAAAAAAAAAAAAAAAAAAAAAAACCGTTGTATTTCTGGCCCTGTCATTTTCTAAAAATAATGTATTTGAGGAGAATTAATAGACAGGTGAGGTTTTTTAAAAATTGAAAGTCCATCCTTAAGGAAGAAATTCCTTTAAAAAATTCTAAACCAAAATGTGTGTGTGTGTTGTGGTGTGTGTGTTGGTCTGTGTAGAAGAAATAAAATGTTTTCAATTTATTCCCAAAATGCCATCAGCAATGGTGAGTAATATTGAGGCAAGAGGAGTCTATTGCTCTTTATTCCCCCAAAAGAAGAGATTTGAAGAAATTCATGGGCAATATATTTATACATGACTATATTTATATTCCAATATATTTGGAGCCTCCAATATATTTATACATGAATTCTTGAAGAGGAGAAAAGGACAGATCAGTCAGGCTCAGTGCACTTGAAACTATCACATCATATAGCTCTGTAGAAGGCATCTCTGCTACAGCAGTAACTCCTTTTCCTCCAATCATCTCCCTCATATTATCCTTCTCCCCCAACCTGCCCGAGGAGTATGAAAATACAGCAGGGAATCAGCCAGGTCAAGGTCACTACCCACATGCTCCTTGGAGTCAAGGTGTGGAAAGATAAATGGACAAAACCACTTTAAAATATATTTACCCCATAAAGTGACAGCACCATCTCTTCCTATGTTTGGGGATAGCACCCTCAGAGAGGACTGGTGTCTTTTTCTCTTTTCAAGGGTTAGTTCGCCTATTGTCATTCACAGAATAGAAAACAATACCAATAGAAGGAGATGGCCTTTTGTTCCTCTATGTCAGTCATGTCAGTGGGGGTGCTTCTTTCATATCAAGGAGCTGAGGGTGGGGAGGAATGATTTGCCAATGAAGCAAGCATGAGGCAGGAATAAATTTAGTTTCATGCAACTCAAAAATGAGCTTCTCAGCACTTTGGAGTTGAATCTCTGCCAAGTTCTTCAGGAATGTTCTTGACCTTAAGATTACCTGTTGGAACCAAGAAAGGTGCTCCTTTTCCTTATAGACAATGACTAATTTATGTAGATGAGGGACATACTGTTCTCAGGCTAAACATCTTGTCCCCGGAGTATTGGGGGATCCATAGAGTGTGGCCTTATAACTGTGAACTCTGAACAAGTGCAGACCTGAATTCAAGCCCTTCATTTCTTCTCACTTCAAGGTCCACTGTGATGGGGAGAGAGAACAGAGGTGTCAAGTACAGAGCTACTTGTTTACATCACAAAGTACAGATCTTTAGGGACAGCAGTCAGGTTGGAGGGAACAGGAAAGGCTTCTCCCATCAATATTTTAAAGTCTTCGTTATATTTTGGAGATGTAACAATGGAAATTCTCTAAGATTCTCTGAAATTTTGTTCCTTCATTTGTGAAATGGAAATAACCTCTTCTGCTTACCACATAAGAACAATCTACTTGAACAGGAGTTGCTAATGTACAAGGATCATGTTCCCGCAAGTTTTTCCTCCAACTTTTGAACAGTGCCTGGCAGAGGAAATACATATCATTGTTGAGTGAATGAGTAACGAATGCGCACATGAGCAGATTGACAGTGATATAAATTCATGAAGTCCTCTCCATTGTTTGTAAGCATACTCTTCTCCAATAATAACTCTAGGACTCTTCCTTTGGCATAATTCAGTCTATAAATTAGCTCAAGGTTTGATTCAGAACTTTTGAATTAACAGTTTTTTGTCAATTCTGTTTTACCCATGGCATGCCAATGCTAATAGAAGCCTGTTTTTTTTTTTTTTAAAGACTGGGTGACTCATCAACTTTCCTTCAGCTGAGCAATAGTGTAATATCCTCACAGGCCTCCAGGTAGGGGGAGGATTTCCATGTGCCTTATTGACAGCTCAGGGGGCAGCTTTATGAATTTACTTCCCCCCTTGCCATACATGTCCTCTAGCCCCCCTGCACTGCCCTTCTAGAAATAATTATTCTCCAAGTATTAGTAGAAATAGGTGCTTTAACAGAAAATACTAATAAAATTTGAGATCCCAGTCTCAGGTGTGGTTTCCCTCAAGACAAGGAGCAGGAACTTCCCATTTGAGGCAGGGAGGGAGCAGGGGCTCAAGTTCCCTGTCACATCCCTAGGGGAAGTGTTAGCCTCAACCTTTCTGACAGTGGCCTGGGCCATGTGAGTCTCTGCAGGCAAACTGAGGCATGTTGTGTCCATATCCTCAAGGGAAACAGACATGAACACATAAAAGTTACTCAGGACCTCATGCCTCAGTTTATTGTGCTTCCCTTTATTGTGCTTTGCAGATATTGTGCTTTTTACAAACCAAAGATCTGTAGCAACTGCATCCCACAAGTCCATCAGTGCTATTTTTTCCAATAGCACGTGCTCACTTCCTGTGTCGATATCACCTTTAATTAAGGGATATACATATATATGCACTCAGAAGCCAAAAACTCTGTGTGACTCACTTTGCCAAGATATTCACTTTCTTGCAGAGGTCTGGACAGACCCCATAAGATCCCTGAGGCATGCCAGGACTATAGCACAGCTCATCTTAATGGACAGCAGAATGGGCTGGAGTTGCCAGGACCAAGAGCAAAGGCCAGAGTCTTCAGGGAAGACTTTGGGAGAAAGTGGAACTTGAAGAAGTCAGGGGAGAAGGGTTGGCCCAGCCTTGCAGAGAGGTAGATCCTCTTAGTGGATATGCTGAAACAGGGTGAGAGAACCAAGATCTAGGCACGAGGTCAGCGCTGCGAGGGCACCAGACCAGAGCTGGGGAGGCAGCTTCCACATGGAGGCAACAGGGCTCCATACCAGTTGTGGGCAAAGTCAATGGGCTGCCATGGCCCTGGGTTTTCCTTTACTGACAACCTTTCCTCCCTCAGACAGTCATAGGAAGGTTCATTAAGTAGTATATGTGAAAGTCATTTGAAAATTCTAAACTGTTACTCAAACACTATATGCTATTATTATAAGAGCAACAGTAAGGAATAACGTTGGCACCAGTGATGCTAACAGCCAACTCAATGGTAGAAAGTGGAGCTTTCTAGACTCCATCCTCTGAGGTCAACTTGACCGTAGAAGGTGGAACTTTACAAAACTCCCGCTGAGTAGGGGCTGATGGGAAATAAGGCTGGAACTGGGGCTTTGAGCAGTTAAATGGCTGGGACTGTTGACCAGATTGACTACCCGCTCTAGGTAGTTAACTGCTGTGCTTCTGACAATTAAGCTGCTGGTGAGGAGGGTGTCTGTGGAAAAGCCACCAGCTTGCCACATGTGGCTTTGGCTTGGTCTTGGTCTCTGTTCAGCAGAAATTCTCTGGGGCAGTACAGATACAAATGGCCATGTGCCAGCCTATGAATATTCTTCCCCCTCATCTTCCTTTTTCTCACCCCTGTATAAATGGTGTTATTGTTATTTCACACTGTACCTGCTTTGGGGTTGTGTCCTGCAATCTTAAGCATGCAAGTGAGGACCTACCAACTGGGTCTTCCTCTTGTCCCCCACCCAGCTTAGCTCTGTTTCATTATCATTGTTTCTTAGGAAAAAGATGGTCAAAAAAGCAGATTGGACACAGATCAGGAAAGATATAAAATGTCAAGCTAAGAAGGGCTGCTGATTAAAACTGAACTTCATAAATGGAAGGATCAGGAAGAGCCCTAGTTAGGCCCATCCTTTGACTCTTCCTGCAGACCTCACCCATCTCACCCTAGTTGGGAAATGAAAGTTCCTCTCTGAAGGTATCAATGATGAAGTGTTTTCTCCCTCCCCTTCACACAAAGCTAAAAAGGAGCAACTCAGTTAATGTGGTCTCTCAGAATTTCTCCAAACCTTGAGTCTAAGAGGCAGTGTTGCCTAGCAACAGTGGTGATGTCAGGCCAGTCTGAGTTCTGATTGGCCATCTCAGATTCACTGCTGAATTTGGACTTAACTCTCCTTTACCCTCATTTTTCTCATCTGTGAAGAGGCACACTTTCATGTTCTCTAAGGGTTTGTCAGACCCTCTTTGGGGATGTTTCTGAGGACGGGAGTGGAGGGCACCCAGGGAAGACACTAAGTGCTCCAGGAAAGACAGATAAAACATGGAGAGCATGCTGACAGCCATGTAACTGTCCACAACCAGGTAGACACTCATCTAATCATCCAACAGACACTGAGAACATTCCAAATAGATGTTGGTGAATGATACAGAGCCTTTGCTATCATGGATCTCAATCTCATGGCAAAGTCAAATAGAGTGTTATTGTGAGCATAACAAGTGCTGGGAATGTGGAACACATCTACACCAGTGCTTTTTCCAACATTTCTATACTGTGCTCCCTGGTATATCTTTTTTACTCTATTCCCTGAATTACTTTACTAATCAAGAGAATTTGGATACATTTGATCTATTTTCAGAAACATGGCACTGACATTAAGTATATCAAATCTGCCCAACCATCACAGTTCTGATACCCTGGAGGGGCATCTTCCCTACCCTCCCAGGTGAATTGTGGATTCCCTGAGAACCGTTTCCTGTGCTATGATCCCATGATGCTCTATCTTGGTCTCTGCTGGCTGCTCTGCGGGGACATTATTAAACCCACTTCCAGAATACTATGCTTCCTTTTTTCTTGCTCTGCACCTGCTACTTGGCAATGTCACACCTTCACCAGTATCCAAATTTTGTTGGGAAAATTCCCTATATCCTAGGGTAGATATTAATATAGACTCAACACTGACAGAGAAACAAATTATCAACCACCCACTTGGATTTAATCAGGAGAATTCATGCCCAAAGCCAATGAGAGTCCAGGGGGTAACAATTACTGGTGTTTAACAATCATCTGCAAGTTTCCCAAATTTGCTGTTCACTATGAAAATACACTTTTCTTTTTTCTTAAAATGGGCTTTCTTAATCTTGAAGGATATAATATCCAAAAATCGTGTGATGATATTCATGTCTCTACCTGTCCCTTCCATTGTCTTAGATGACTGCCCCATCCCTGCGTAGCCTCTGTTGCTCTGAGTTGAGGAGTCCAACATTCCCCATCTGCCAGTCCTCATTCCTTTGTTCATTTCAGTGACCCATCCCTAGGCCTCTCCAGCCCCATGATGCCTTTCGAGTGCAGAGGAGAGAATTAGCATTCTTCAGGTGAAAATCAGTGTTTGTTTCTGAGCTCTTCCTGGAGATAGCAGCCTCATGCTGACTGTTGGGGACACATCACTCCATGTCACCCAATGAGCCAAATGATAATCTCTTGGCTGCCCTCTCTTCCCTCATTCTCTCAGTGTCAGACCCTCTCTCCAAGGCTCTCAGTATGTGACTCCTAGCCAGATGATAATAATTTCTCTTGCCTCGCTGCTGTTTTCTGCCACAGGTAGAAATCAGTAAGGAGCAAAATCCATTTTGCGGCCAGGAGAATTCTAATCCTGGACTAAGCATGCTCACATCCCAAATGCATGCAGGGCACGGATTCCGACAACGAACGACATGGCCACAGTTGTGGAAACAGAACTGTTCACAATCTGTTGGCTTCATCCTCGAGCGGCAGTGAGAAGCTTTCCATCAATGCCAGGCCTCTGATTACAGCCCTAGAGCATCGCCACAGTGTGCAATTTCCTTCCAAGCAGCGTGAGCCTAAATCTACGTGAAATGAACTGGATTGATTTCATCAAAATAGCTTCAGCAACTATGTGAGCCATGCCATCTCTTATGTTCCAGTACAAGACTTTTTGGGGTTTTGACTAACCATTCTAACCTAGAATTTACCTACTCCCTCCCCACCCCAAACACACTAAAGTGTGTGTGTGTGTGTGTGTGCGTGTGTGTGTACCTGTACATCTGACTTCAATCACATATACTGCCTCTTCTTCCTCTTTCTTTCTGGACTCTCTCCCCTATTTCTATGTTTCTCTGCTTATGTATTTGAATCTCTCCCTCCTCCTGTTCTCCCATGCACTCTGTCAGTCTCTGTCTATCTGTCTTTCCTATTCCTCACCCCCTTCCTCTCTGTCTTGCATCCCCACATCTTTCTCTGTCTTCTCTCTTTTTTTTTTTTAAAGATTTATTTATTTATTTATACAAGCACTGGGCACAGTCAGAAGCGCAGGAGGGTGAGAGAATTCACCAGAGCCAGAGCAGGAAGCAGGATGGAAGTACACTGCTGAGGGAGCAGCGGGCGGCAGGAGAGGTCTGCGCGCCATGCGGGACCCTCCTCCAGTGGCTGGGGAGCAGCCGGGGATTGAACCGGCACTGCAGAGGCTGCAGGCAGCTTCGCAACCCAGCGCTCAACTGCTGCGCCACCGGGGAGGCCCTGTCTTCTCTCTTTATGTGCCTCTGTTTCCATCTCTTCCAATTCCTCTGGTGCCTAAAATTGCACAAGCAAGTTCAGCCCATTTCCCTGAATTTACGATGGTAGTATCCTCTACTAATTTCCTCCCCCTGTGTCCCAACCTCTCACTCTATAGGCTTTATTCAATACATACTTGATAAACACAAACAGGAGAAATACAGGAGGAAAAAAGCCATAAAAACAAACTGCATTGAGTTTAACTCTTCAGTGCTCATTAAAACTTGCTGATTCTGCAGATTCTCTTAACGGACCTTCATAACCACAGTGTAATATTTACAATGACAGCACAGGCCTGAAGTGCCTTCTAGAACATGAAAATAAGATCCGGGTTGGGGGTTTCTTCTTTACACTTTGATTTTTAGAAAACGGGCAAATTGTGCATAGTATAATGTACGTGCTAAATTATAATTAATCAGAACATTTGAGTAGTATAAATACTCTTTTCCCTGATTGTGTCATATGGCAGAGAGGCACCAAGGAAATTGCTATACAAATTCTTCATGTAACATATTGAAGGTAATAGAGAGATGTGTAAATGTCTCCAGTATCATATTGGAATCTGATCCAGAAATGTGCATAATGTCACCAGACCTCAAGTAACATCCATCTCTCTCCTCGGACTCTGATGGCCCTAGCAGCTGTCC